CACGGAGCTTCCTCTTAATAATAGCTCTTCCTCTTCCATGTCGTAGCATCCATCTCCATTCATTTGTCCAAGACAAAGGTTCCCTCTTAATTTGAAAAAAACCCAAGACAAACTTCCAAACACTTCTGGGAAATTCACACTGGAAAAAAAGATGCTCAATATTTTCCATACTTACCCCACAAAAACAGCATTCTAGATCAATGATCATACCCCTGGATGCCAAGAAGACTTTAGTCTTCAAATAGATCTAGGGTTGACTCATTGTTTCGCGTGCAATCGTGCTGAGAGAAGGGGTGGCTTGAATTTGTTCTTGCAGGATGAGTTTGCCTTTCAAATTTCCTCTTTCTCGCCATTATCTCACATTGATGTTGTAATAGTAGATCCGGGTGGATGTCAATGGCCATTAATAGGGTTTTTCGGCCAACCAGAGACGGATTCCCCTTTGTTGTGGCTGCGTTTAGGCGCCATTAATGCTACCTTGAGCAAATTGGAAAAGGAGAGGGGCATTCTCTTCTTTCGGTTGGGTTTTGCGTGGGGGGATATAAGTGGGTTTTGGTGTGGAAGGTCAAATTTCCATGTTGTGAAGGAAACTGATGGTGTTCTGCAAGGGCAGTATGGCCCTCAAGCTGGTAAAGGGGCTCTAGATCCCTTATTAACCTATGGTAGCCAGGGATTGTTGAGGATTGGAACAGATGTGCATATGTTTGGGTGCACTTGCAGACGAATAGGGTACCTGGCGATTGCACAGAGGAGGACCATACCCCTCATCTCGCTTATTATTTTTTAAGAATAGCTTGGATGACAACCTATAGTTTGGGGACTGTTTGTTGCCAAAATCCGTTCTCTGCTAACTAGGTGAGAACGTCCAGTAGCTTTTGATGCTCATAGGGACCTTCCTTTCTACATTAGTAGCCCTATTTAACCCATATAGCGATTGCAATTACAATCTCTAGTTGCAAATGGCTCTCTTTACTTAATTGTCTATATTTGTCATGGGCATAGTTTAAATCTGTTATTAGGCTGTAGGTTATGCTTTTGATTTTGCTTTTTAAGCTCTCATGCGTTAAGCTATATGCCATGTGATGGAATTTTTACTGTACTTTTCTTATTATTCAATATATTTCTCCATTTCTTATCAAAAAAAAAAAAAACCCATGTGATAAAAATGCTAAATGTTAACCACGAGGGTAAATCACAAACAAGTAAAATTATTACTTGAGAAATAACTCTCCCATACCACCGATCTGTTGATTTGGTAGAAAAAATTTGATTTTCCTTAGATAAAGTTTTGAGTTGAAATTTTGTAAATGAAAAGACAAATATTAGAACCGCTCCACTGCGATTCGATTCTAAATTAATCAAAATTATCAAATATCAAAAAATTAATAATAAAAAAAACTCTTACATGCCTCATGGACTTTTGTCCGGAATCTAAATTCCCAGAATTCTAAAATAAACCAAAATAACATTATTCCTAAAAATAACTTAACGAACGGAACAGATAACAAATTCTTCAAAAATTAAACCTCCTATAAAAATTCCTTAACAGCCCGGGTTTTGATTTTTAAAACTTGTTTTAGAGTCAAAACTAATTTTATCCTTTTTTTTCTCAAAGGGAAAATCAATCGGCAAAACTGGTACCAAAAAAAAGTACAAAAGAGTGGAATCTGAAACCCCATTTCAGATAAGCACAGAGATTTCCTCTCTCTGATCTGATCCTTTCCTTCCGTCATCGGAATTGTTCCGGGTTCTTTGCTGTTTCTCTGAATCGTCCAAATTGCCATCTGGGTTGAAGATTAAGTAACTGCATTGCGTTGTTACCTGAGATTTTCTTTTGGGTTTCGGACGATGGACAAACCCCTGTTCGTCCACCGTTCTCGCTACCATTCCATCAGCAAACTCCTCTTCTGGACGCTTCTGTTCCTAGGTGTGATCTTTTTCGTTTTCTTCCGGCCTCCGCCGACCCCTGATTCCTCTCGCCGACTTCTGCAGGATGGACCCGATTGGGAGAGTCGGGTCATCAAATCTGGCCGACCCAAGTCCGTAAACAACCGTCGCATTGTGCTTGTAACTGGGGCTGCTGGATTTGTCGGGACCCATGTCTCCGCCGCTTTGCGCCGCCGTGGGGATGGGGTTGTAGGGCTTGATAACTTCAATTCCTATTACGACCCGTCGTTGAAACGTGCCCGCCGCGCTCTCCTTGAACGTGCGGGAGTGTTTGTTGTGGAAGGTGATATCAATGATGCCGAATTGCTGAAGAAGCTTTTTGGGTTGGTGAAATTCACTCACGTAATGCATCTGGCCGCGCAGGCGGGTGTGCGTTATGCAATGGAGAATCCTGCATCTTATGTGAAAAGCAACATAGCCGGACTTGTTAGTGTTCTTGAGGTAAGCAAATCGGCGAACCCACAGCCGGCAATTATATGGGCATCTTCTAGTTCTGTTTATGGACTTAATACTAAGAGCCCCTTCTCCGAGGAGGACAGAACCGATCAGCCGTCGAGTCTGTATGCCGCCACTAAGAAGGCCGGTGAAGAAATTGCGCACACTTACAATCATATATACGGGTTGTCAATCACAGGGCTGCGTTTCTTCACAGTTTATGGACCATGGGGCAGGCCTGATATGGCATATTTCTTTTTCACCAAGGATATATTGAAAGGGAAGAAAATAACCATATTTGAAGGTCCTGATCATACGACTGTAGGCAGAGATTTTACCTACATTGATGATATAGTGAAGGGTTGCTTGGCTGCATTGGACACTGCAAAGAAGAGTACTGGAACAGGTGGGAAGAAGAAGGGGCCAGCACAATTGCGGGTGTTTAATCTTGGGAATACATCTCCGGAGCCTGTTGGGAGACTTGTGGACATATTGGAGACATTGTTGAGAGTGAAGGCTAAGAAGGTTGTGTTGCCTATGCCTGCTAATGGTGATGTTTTGTACACACATGCCAATATAAGCTTGGCGCAGAGAGAGCTTGGATATAAGCCTACCACTAATTTGAAAACAGGTTTGAAGAAGTTTGTGAGTTGGTACCTTGATTACTATGGAACAGGGAAGAAGAGTGCTGTATAAATGCAAACAATTTGTGGATCTATGGTAGTGTCATTCAAATCCCTCATTTGATTTGATACTTATGATTTCTTATTCATAGCTTAACATAGTTGATTGTTGACTTGAACAACTGAAAAGAGTCAGTTGATTTATGTGCTTTTGTTGTGGGAATGATTCAATTGCATCTAGAAAATAGAAGCAACTCTTTAGTTAATGTTTGTCATTAACGCCTGTTATTTTTTCTTGGAAAAATATTACCAAATAATGATTTTGTTTCCTCTCCGTTTACCTTTTTTACCATTTTGAAGAGTATAATGCTGAATGTGACATGAATGTTTCGATTAGATAACACCAGTTTAATTTGTTTCTACCAGTTGTATGATATGAAAAATTAATCTCTTTTAGCCTATTGTTTTGGTGGGTGATAACAAATGTGTGAGTGGTATACTTTTATTTTTTTGCACTCTGCCTTTATTCTTACTTTTCCTTCTCTGTTTTTTAATTTTATTTTGTTTATTTTCTTATTATGGGAAGAACTTAGAAGTCATAGTTAATTAGAATTTCTCTGGAAGAAGATTAGGTAGTCATAGGCTGGACATGTTAAATTCTAATTTCGGTTATAAGGTTCTAGGGGCAGAGCATGTGGAAGGCCATAGGGCCAACTGTTGGAAACATAAAACTAGGCAGAGCAATGTGCAGAATTAGAACCTTCATTTTCTTCTTGTTGCTGGCATTTTAGAATTTCTGCTGCAAGGTGGGGTTTGTTTTTTGACATGGGAAATTTTGCTTTACTTAGCTAGCTAGTTCTTTGGCGTGCTCCCATGTTATCGCCTTTGGGGTTCTATAGTCACTTTACATCAAGTTGAGCATCTATGGGAAGGAACTGGTTTCTTCCATCTCACATCATACAATGATATGGTTTCATGTTTGTGCTGGGAAACCATTTTCAAAATAAATGAGACGCAAAAAAGATTTAGTGTTGATTACATTATTCGTCCTTCTACTTTAAAAAAGGGACACTTCCATCTCAGTACACAAAATGGGCCATTTCTTTTCTCTACTTTCAAAAAAAATAAGAGCTTTTTGTCAGACCGTAACACCAACTTCTGGCCAACCCTTTTGCTTCCATTGCTTACCCTTGCCAGTTTTCCTAGTTGTAATGCTAATTGTCAATTTGGGTTTGATCTACTAAGAAGTGTTAAAGTGTGTCTTTAAAATTCAAATCACATGAAGTGAGATTAATCTTGAGATACATAAAA